TGGAAATAGGATCCCATCCCTTCTCCCTAAACCTTCTTCAGTTACTCCCATCATCAACACCAGGGTTCCTCAATTTAAGCACGATCAACATTTGGAGCCAGCTAATTCTTTCCGGGGGTTGGGGCGGGGGGGGCTCCTTCTGTCATTGTAGGATATTTAACAGCATCCTTGGCCTCTACTTACTAGATGTTGGTGACTTACCACCACCCAGTCCAGACATTGACAAATATCCCTGTGAGTTGGGGGGAGCAAAATGGCCCCTTTTGATCTACAGGATCCACAGTGATCTACGGAATAAACTCGGTTTCTCAGCATGGGTACGAGGCCCTTTGTGCTCTGCTCCCGCCTGCTCCTCTAGCTCCACTTGACCCCATACTGCCCGTAGTCCTGCAGGTCTGACAGTTACCAGGAACCCTGCAGCTCCCACCCACTACTTGTTCAGCTTGACTAACTTCCTCAGCCCTCAGGTTTCAGCTCAGAAATCACCCCTCAGGAAGTAGTTCCAATCTTAACACACACCCCCTGCTTCCCTCTGCTTGTTCATCATGCAGTGTGACATCTGCTCGCTTGTCTCACTTCCCAGCATCAGTGAGAGCTGGATGGCAAGGACTGTGTTTTGTTACTTCTGTGTCCTCAGCATGGTGGCTTACTCCTAGTAGGCACCCAGTAAATGTTGACCGAGTGAATGGTTGGTGCTCAATAAGCCTTTGTCGAATGAATGAATAGTCCTCCTTGAAACAGCTGCTTTTCTCAGCTCTTTCACTTTCCACCATTCCATCCTGTTTATGTAATTGAAAAAAAGAAGCTAGTTGGTCAGTAGGTCAAGAAACAGTCACCCTGAAAGCAAGGATTTTAAGGGGAAAAAAGTCTGGCAGTTCCATAAACTCTGTATTCTGCATGTGATAGAACACAAGAGTTTTACGTTATGGTTGGTACCAGAAAGTCAGGAACAAGGATTTGGACCAAAATGGGAAAATGGGCAAGAAACACTACATTTTTGTCCTGTAGCATATGGATTTCTCATTAGTCTATGTAAGGGAAAACCGGGGGCGGGAAGGGCTCAGCCGTTGCAGCTGTCCACACTCTCTCCCCCCATCACTCTGCTGCCACCACACCTGGTCCCCAGAGACACCGTCACTTCTTAGCTATGTTGGCTGAGGTATAGACAAATCCCCCTGGTTCAGCAGACTGGCCTGGAATCTTTCAAAAGAAGCTTTGCTAGGAAACTAGTGGGAAAAACAAAAGTAAAAACAGGAAACAGTATATAGAAACTATAAAAATACAGAGTGTGAAGGGACGAAAGAAAGGGAAAGACAGAAAAAAGAAAATCCCTTAGCCTGAGATAACTAAATTTTAGTTTTAGCTTTCCTTGACTTAATTTAACAGGCACATATTTTCCCTGGGTTTTTGTTGTTGTTTGTTTTATTGTTTTGTTTTGCCACAGTATCGTCTCCCTCTGGGGAACTTTTCAGTCTTTGAATATTTTCCATCTCTCGCTTAAGAATCTTCTCTGTCTTCATCTTAGAAGATGATAGAGTCACTTTTTCTTACCGACAACGGGGTTACTGATCAGATGGTGCTTTACAACCTGTCTCTTAGGATAAAGAAGCTCAGGGCTTCCACCTCTGAGTACCCATGCCACAGGTCTGTGACAAAGGTTTTATTTGCCTGGGGTGAAATGAAAAACACAGACAATATCAATGAGTTTTTTAATAACACTATAGAGCTGATCTTTTTATTCTAGGATTTTTTCTTTCTTTTTAATATTAAAATAGTAGATGGAAATTGTGAGGTTTTACTTTGTTTTTGTTTATGTCCTTGTCAAAATTAAATGTTGATAATTTTCTGTAGGTATCCCAATTTTTAAAAATTCTTCCTGGTTTCCAAAATCAAAAACTCTGACTAATAGATATTCTGTAAGACATATTTACCCTATTTTTTAATGCTTTTTGAGTCATTTGAAAAGGTATTTTAATATGTAGATTTGTTTTTCAGTCCTCCCAACAGGGCATGCTGTAATTTAACTATGTTTTCAAGGGCAAATGATACAAGTTTTAAAATCCAATGTTCTCTTCTAAGAAATTAAATAGTTGCTGTAATATAATCCTCACAATAAAGGACAAAAACTGTATGGACCTAATAGAAGCAGAAGATACTAAGAAAAGGTGGCATGAATACACAGAAGAACTATACAAAAAAGGTCTTAATGATTCAGATAACCACAACAGTGTGATCACTCACCTAGAGCCAGTCATCTTGGAGTGCAAAGTCAAGTGGGCCTTAGGAAGCATCACTACAAACAAAGCCAGTGGAGGTGATGGAATTCCAACTGAGCTAAAAGATGATGCTGTTAAAGTGCTGCACTCAATATGCCAGCAAATTTGGAAAACTCACCAGTGGCCACAGGATTGGAAAAGGTCAGTTTTCATTCCAATACCAAAGAAGGGCAATGCCAAAGAATGTTCAAACTACCACACAATTGCACTCATCTCACATGCTAGCAAAGCAATGCTCAAAATTCTCCAAGCTAGGTTTTAATAGTACATGAACCATGAACTTCCAGATGTTCAAGCTGGATTTAGAAAAGGCAGAGGAACCAGAGATCAAATTGCCAACATCTGTTGGATCATCAAAAATGCAAGAGAATACCAGTAAAACATCTACTTCTGCTTCATTGACTGTGTTAAAGCCACTGACTATGTGGATCACAACAAACTATGGAAAATTCTTAAAGAGATAGGAATACCAGACCACCTTACCTACCTCCTGTGAAACCTGTATGCAGGTCAAGAAGCAACAGTTAGAACTGGATATGTAACAACAGACTGGTTCCAAATTGGGAAAAGAGTACATCAAGGCTATATATTGTCACCTTGCTTATTTAACTTATATGCAGAGTACATTATGAGAAACGTCAGGGTGGATGAAGCACAAGCTGGAATCAAGATTGCCAGGAGAAATATCAACAACCTCACATATGGAGATGACACCACCCTTATGGCAGAAGGTAAAGAGGAACTAAAGAGCCTCTTGATGAAAGTGAAAGAGGAGGGTGAAAAAGCTTAAAAGTCAGCATTCAAAAAATGAAGGCCAGGGCATCCAGTCTCATCACTTCATGGCAAATAGATGGGGAAACAATGGAAACAGTGACAGACTTTTATTTTCTTGGGCTCCAAAATCAGTGCGGATGGTGATTGCAGCCATGAAAATAAAAAGACACTTGCTCCTTGGAAGAAAAGCTATGACCAACCTAGACAGTGTATTAAAAAGCAGAGACATTACTTTGCCAACAAAGGTTCATCCAGTCAAAGCTATGGTTTTTCCAGTAGTCATGTATGGATTTGAAAGTTGGACCATAAAGAAGGCCAAGCACTGAAGAATTGATATTTTTGAACTGTGGTGTTGGAAGAAGACTCTTGAGAGTCCCTTGGACTGCAAGGAGACTAACCTAAAGGAAATCAGTCCTGAATATTCATTGGAAGGACGGATGCTGGAGCCAAAGCACCAATACTTTGGCCACCTGATTCAAAGAGCCAACTTGTTAGAAAAGACCCTGATGCTGGGAAAGATTGAAGGTCAGAGGAGAAGGGGGTGGTAAGCGGACGAGATGGTTGGATGGCATCACCAACTTGATGGACAGGAGTTTGAGCACGCTCCAGGAGATGGTGAAGGATAGGGAAGCCTGGCATGCTGCAGTCCATGGGGTCAGAAAGAATCGGACACAACTCAGTGACTGAAGAGCAAACAACAACAAGATCCTCATTCTAGATATTTATTTATTGGTTGAATATCAGTAAATGTGCCCTCCATGTGCTAGGTCCTGAATAAAAACAAATTTGAGTGAGTTATCATTCCCACCCTCAAGGAAATCCTAGACTAGAAAAGAAGGTCAAGGTATAAACAATAGTGCAGGGTTCAGTCCTCTAGGAGCCAGAGAGAAAGTAGCTAATTTCACCCTGGACACCTTTATAGAGGAAGTGAAGTTTTACGCATGGAAAAGTTGACAATTTGCTAAGACTGGAAACCTGGGTATACATTTGGAGAACATTTGGGCAACTTCAACCCAGGAACATGTGGGAGAGAACAGAAAATGAAGCTAGAGAAGTATTACCTAGTTCTAATCTCAGATTCCACTGCTACCTGTCACTGAACATCTGCTTTTCTTTTTTCTTTTTGGAACATCTGCTTTTCATACTTATAGGCCAGAAAAAAAGCCTGAGCAAGAAAACTGTATTTTGTAATGTCTTTATTCATTAGCCTTCCCTCTTTCAATGGCTTTTGAAAATGCCACTGAAATTTAATATGGGTAAATGCCTTGTACTTGGATTCAGATTTACTACCAAAGCACAGGACAGGGGAGACCTGACAGCTTTTTACTGACCATAAACTTTCCCTGAGCCCATGATACGCCCCAGCTGCTGTGAGAGCAGATGCCATCACGGTGACATCTGTGAAGCTTCAACTCAAGGGGAGTTGCAGGAAAGACCTGTCAAACCGGGTCCTGACCTGGCAACATCTGGGCAGCGTGCTCAGGTCTGCGTGCCATTTTTTAGGGGTTGTACAGATAAAATCTAGAGGGCATCCAGAGAAGACAGCCTTCAAATCATCATCTAAAGGGGAAAATTGAAAAGGAGAAAAGAGCTGCCTTTAGTTATTTTAATGGCTTGCTTGAGGCAGGGTGGAATGGTTCATTCTAGGTTGTGTCAGTGGACTGGGTGGAAATTAGATCAATTTTGGCTCAGTGTCGGAATCATTTTCAAGAGCTTTTTTCCTAATTACATAGTGCTATGAGATTATTTTGACAAAATATGGAAATATTTTGACAGAACATGATAACCATCTTCACCTGTGGAGAAGCTGTAGTGAAGAGCCTTATTGGACCTCTAGAGCTCCTTCCATCTTTAAATTCAATTAAATTTTAGAATTTGTTCTAATTGTTAAAGTATATTATCACTTTCCCAACATTAACCCAATTATTTGTGAATTTTCTTATTTTTTAGTATCTGACGAGAAGGATACCACAAAACCCAAGGTATCAGCATGTCAAATCAAGACTAGACACTGGTGAGTAAAGATTAGCAAATTAAAACTTAAAAAAAAAATCTTAATAGCTGATTATTGACAAAAAGCAGTATGTCATGCCTGATACAGATCAGAGCTAAAAGTTTCTCACTGTCTTGTCTGATGTCTTTCTGAGTTCAGGACTTATGAAAGCTATTTTTCAGATTATCTTTAAAAACTCCATTCACATAATTGAGCTTACTATAAATTGCAAAACTGATTTTTAAAAAAACATTGTTTAATAAGTTACAGGACTGAGGCTAATAAAAATATGAGGATGTCACCTCTATCTTGGAACACCTTTAAATATGTTAAGCAATTTAAGTATATTGCTTAAAACTGGGAGTAATTGATTATACTTTGTGCATGTTTGTTCAATTCCCTATTTGCAGAGTATAGCTACATGCAAAGTTCTGGGCTATGGGACATGTAAAGATGAGTGTGAACAGTTGATTATTGCAATCAAAGAGCTTAGATTCAAGTGGAGGCAGACAGACTTGAATGAGTAACTAAAATACCAGACAAAATTAAATTAGTGCTGCAATTCAGGTAAAATGAAATTTAAGAGTGCATTACTGCTTATTTCCATGCTGTTGACGTTTTTCAGTGTCAGGATGAAAACCACTCCCCAAACCCCTGGTGGATTTGCAGTCTTGTGAGATTTTGGTTGTTTGTTTAGTTTTTTTCAACCTCTTAAAGTCTGCTGTGGAAAATCCATCCTATTAAGATGGTTTTGCTAGTAGATTGGAGTACTACATGCCTTTAGCAATACTGAATTTTCTACCAATAAACCTCAAGACAACTGAGAAAATAAACTGAGATGTCGACTGTTTAAATCTCATTCATTTTCTTTCTCTTTCTCCTAGTCTTCTTCAAAATTATCATCTTCTGTTATGCATTTTCCCACATATAAAATAGACTTAAATGTTTTAAATGAGCCTGCTTTGCAGATACTATTTTTGGGGTCCTTTCTTTCAAACATTTTTGTGCTGTTCAGATATCTGTCCTTGCAAATATCCTGTTTTATGGGAGGAGGTAAAAAATGTTATCTCTGTCTTTGAGGAAGAGGAAATCTTAGTCCAGAGATTATGAGATTTACTTAAAGTTGAATAAAGGAGACAGAACTAGGATTGTGTGCAGGATAAAGAAGTCAACTTTGGAGACCTGGCCTGAGGTCCTATGTACTGTGTCTTTGGCCACGCTGTCCCAGTTATTTCCTCCAGCCTCATTTCTTCTACCACCAATGCCCTCAGCTCCTGCATCTCTACTTATCTCCCCATAATTGCAACTGTGAACCCACCCTTCTGGAAAAAGTTATTCTGAGAGGGAAGTACTTTTATTAAAAATACCATAGTTTCTCTGAGAAGTACAGATAATGTTTTAAAGACTGCTTAATGCCTTCTTAAAATTAAAATTTGTAAGAGCTGAGATGTTTTTCAGCTATATAGATTTGTTTATAACGTCTTTTTTTTCCTTCTGGAAATTGAATTGTGTTTTGTGAATGAAAACTGATTTCTTTCTCTTCAGTTCCTCAACTCATAACCAAAGTTTGACTCAATTATGATACCTGAAAATAATTCAGCTTTTTGGAAATTGAGATATTTGTATCTTCTTTTTATAATACAAAGTAATTGCCTATATCCTTGTATATTCTGAGATTTTTTAATCTAGTGTTTTTGTTAATTAAACTTTTTAGTGTCAGTAGATAGTGTTAGTCACTAAGTTGTGTCCGACTCTTTGTGACCACATGGACAGTAGCCCACCAGGCTCCTCTGTCCATTCTTGCCTGGAATTCTCCAGCAAGAATACTAGAGTGGGTTGCCCTTCCCTTCTCCAGGGGATCTTCCCAACCCAGGGGTCAAACCCAGGTCTCCTGCATTGCAGGTAGATTCTTTACCATCTGGGCTTTTGAAGTCATTGTTGATTCACATGGAATGGTAAGAAGTAAAACCGAGATTCCATGTACTTTACCTAGTTTCCTATAGTAACATCTTGCAAAACTATAGTGCACTACCCCAACCAAGATACTGACATTGATAGATAGAGTCTGGATATAGAACTTTTTTCCGTGACCACAAGGATGCTTCATATTCACTTTCCACCCTCACCTGCTCCTTAACCCCTGGCTCCCACCAATCTGCTCTCCACTTCTATAATTTTGTCATTTCACAACTTCTATATAGATGGAATCATACAGTATATAACTTTGACTGGATTTTTCCCTCAGGAAGTTCTCTGGAGATTTAACCAGGTTGTTGCATGTATTAGTAGTTCATCCCTTTTTATTCCTGAGTGGTGGCTCAGATGGTAAAGAGTCTCCCTGCAGTGCTGCAGTGCAGAGAAGGCAATGGCACCCCACTCCAGTACTCTTGCCTGGAAAATCCCATGAACAGAGGAGCCTGGTAGGCTGCAGTCCATGGGGTCGCTAAGAGTTGGACACGACTGAGCGACCTCACTTTCACTTTTAACTTTCATGCATTGGAGAAGGAAATGGCAACCCACTCCAGTGTTCTTGCCTGGAGAATCCCAGGGACGGTGGAGACTGGTGGGCTGCCGTCTATGGGGTCGCACAGAGTCGGACACAACTGAAGCGACTTAGCAGCAGCAGCTCCCTGCAGCGCAGGAGACCGACGTTCAATCCCTGGGTTGGGAAGATCCCCTGGAGAAGGAAATGGCAACCCACTCCAGTATTCTTGCCTGGAAAATCCCATAGATGGAGGAGCCTGGTAGGTTACAGTCTGTGGGGTTGCAAAGAGTTGGACACGACTAAGTGACATCACTTCTTAGGAATATTCCATAGTATGGATGCACCATGGGCTTCACAAGTGGCAGAGTTGTACAGAATCCACCTGCCAATGCAGGAGATGCAAGAGACCCAGGTTCGATCTCCTGGAGTAGGAAATGGCAACCCTCTCCAGTATTCTTGCCTGGGAAGTTCCATGGACAGAGGAGCCTGGTGGGCTACTATCCATGGGATCACAGAGAGTCGCAAGTTTAATCATTTTCCTATTGAAGGACAGTTGAATTGTTTCCCCTTTTTGACTGTTACAAGTAAATGTGCTGTAAACATTTGTATACAGATTTTTGTGTGAAAATAAGCCTTCATTTCTCCGGGATTAGTGCCCAGAAGTACAGTTACTAGGTTGTTTGGCAGTTGCATTTGTAGTGTTTTAAGAAACTGCCGAACTGTTTTCCAGAGTGACTGGACCATTTTACACTCCCATCAGCAGTGTGATCCAGTTTCTCCATATCCTTAGCATTTGGTGGTGTTGCCATTTTTAATTTTAGCCATTCTGATAGATGTGTAGTAGCATATCATTGCCCTTGTATTTTGCATTTCTCTAATGACTTATGATGTTGAATATCTCTTTGTGTGCTTATTTGCCATCTGTATATCTGTATTTTATCTTCACTGAAATGTTTGTTTTTTGCCCATGTTCTAATTGGATTGCTTGCTTTTTAGTTGTTGAGTTTTGAGTGTTCTTTATATATCCTAGCTACTAGTCCTTTGTTGGATACATGGTTTGCAAATAGTTTCTGCCAGTCTGTAGCCTGTCTTTTTATCCTCCTAACAGGGTCTTTCAAAGAGCAAAAGTTTTTAATCTGAGTAAAATCCAGGATATCAGTATTTCCTTTCATGGATCCTGCTTTTGTTGTCTGGCCTAAGAACGCTTTGCCTAACCTAGATCCCAAAGATTTTCTATCATAATTTTTTCTAAAAGTTATGTATTTTAGGTTTCTATGTAAGTCCATGATACATTTTGAGGTAATTTTTGTATAAGATGTGCAACTTAGGTTGAGATTAACTTTTGCTTGTGGATGCCCAATTTCTCTAGCACCATTTGTTTAAAAGGTTGGATTTTGAATTGTATGTTCACCTTTGTCGAAAACCGGTGGGCATATTTATGTGGATCTATTTCTGGTTTCTGTATTCTGTTCCATTGATTTCTGTGTCTATCCCTCTGCCAATACCACAGTCTTGATTACCGTAGCTGTATATAGTAAATTGGATATTGGTTAGATGGATTATTCCCACTTTATTTTTCTTTACAAAATTACTTTAGCTACTCTAATTCCTTTGCCTTTCCATGTAAACTGGTAGAATAATCTTATTTACACTTTAAAAATATTGCTATACATTTGATAGGAATTTCACTCAACCTGTCTTATCAATTTGGGGAAAATTGACACGTTACTATGTTGAGTCTTACATTCCATTAATATGCTATTTCTCTCCATATACTTCACTCTTTGTTTCTTTCATCAGCATTGTACAGTTTTCAGCATATAAATCCTATACATTTTTTTTTGGATTTACAGATAAATATTTCTCTTTTTCTGGGCAATTTTAAATGGTATTGTATTTTTAAATTTCAGTGTCCATGTTTTCATTGCTAGGATATAGAAATACAGCTTAATTTTGTGTATTTAACTTGTATCCAGAGACGTTGCTAAAAGTACTTATTAGGTAAGGGAGGAGTTTTTGGTAGATTCCTTGGGCTTTTCTATGTAGACAATCATGTCATCTAAAAAAAAAAGTTTTATTTTTTCCTTTCTAGTCTACATGTGTTTATTTCCTTTTATTGCCTTATTGCACTGGTCAGAACTGGCAGAACTATGTTAAATGAGAGTGATTGGAGCAAACATCCTTATCTTTACCCCAGACTTAGAGGGAAATCATTGTCTTTCATCATTAAGGATAATGTTAGCTGTATCAGGTTGAGGGGGTTTCCTCCTGTTCTATTTTTCTGAGAGTTTTAAGCCTGAATGACAATTGAATTTTATTGAATACTTTTTTACTACCCCAATTGATATAATCATATGTATTTTTTCTTTATCTTGATAATATAGTGGATTACTTGTACTGATTTTTAAATATTGTACTAGTTTTGCATTTATTGAATAAACCTCACTTAATCATGGTATAATAATTCTTATTATATATTACTGAATTCTATTTATTATTTCATTAAAGATTTTTGTGTCTATATTCATGAGGGACA